ATGACAATGATGGATGTGTTGCTCAATTTCATGGATTAGTTGAAGTTAGACACTAACACCGTTAGATGCCGACCAGCTCAGTGGTCTATAGGTTAAGCATTCGTGTGCGAGACTGATAGGTCCTGGGTTCGAATCTCACGAGGCGGGGTCGTGAATGTGCACTACTGAGAAGTCTCATAATAAGACGAAACGGCCATCTAGTGCTTCTAGGTTTTCCGTGGTTGTCGAGCTTCGATTGACTCATGATCTCAACTATTCATTATAACTTAACATGATTTTGTGCTCAATGTTCAATTAAATTTTAAAGATTCATTTATTTCGCGGTAATTTTGAATTTTTAAAATTTATTAGTTTGATTATCTATCTTCTTGTCTTCAACTTTCATTTTGTTTTTCTCTATCCCTAATTAATTCAACAATTTCATTTACGAAATGAATAAAATGTCTTAATTTTTCTCTTCTGTTTATAGATTAATTGAGATTTAGTGATCATCTTTGTTTTGTTTTTCTTACGAGATAAATCAATAAATCCTTTGACTTCAAAGTTATGTTCGATGATCAATACCAGAAATTAGAACTGAATAGAACTTTTACATTTCTTAATAATTCACTAATAAATCTGAATTCCATCAAGTATATTAACCGTCGATAATGAAATTAAATGAGAAGTATCAAATCAATAATCACTTTTAGTAAACATGAAAAAATCTAAGACAATTCGATTGAATAATATGTTAAATTACGAGTATGAATTGTTTGGAAGTCTCATACTAGAGTAATGTAGTTAATTATCACATTCTAGTTTTCAATCGCTTGATCTGAAACTGAAAAGTTATAATGATAATGATAATAAGAAAAGATAGGCGGATATATGTAACTAACAAAGAACTTTACTCAAATGTGTATCCATTTAAGGTTTTGAAATTCTAAACAGTATACATACAAAAGTTCTACAGTCATAATACGATTTTCTTATAAATTAATATATTATCAGGCACAAGAAGAAAATAAACAAAGAATTGTTAACATTTAAGAATTAAGAGAAATAGTGTATGAAAACATTTGTACGCAGCATGTGATGTAATCTCATTTTGATATAAGTACATATACATTTCTTACTTCTAATAAACTATTCATTTTATAGATTTCAAATAGATCAACTCATGTTACAATGGTATACTTATTATAACAATGGTAGATTATGATCTATTTGATTATTGTTGACGGTTCAAAGAAATTTCTCTCCATATAAAATAACTGACTGAAATTATAAACAACGATGAATAGTGGCTAGTAGTGGAATCCAGTTTGACACGCATTTCATCCTATTTGGAACTCATCAGCTGGATGTACCTGCATGTGAGAGTTGATGTTTTTTATCTGAGACTCGAATCCAGTACTGTTCGTTTCAAACACCATCATTTTATTCACTTAACTACTGAGTCCTGATCATCACTTGTTTGTGCAATGTGAGTGAAGTTTAAATTCACTTCACTGAAACTCGTGTCCTAGATTCCACTTCTAACCATTATCTATCTTTGCTTATATTGTTTGTGAATTAAGACAATATCGAGGCAATCCTCACAGTATGCATATATATAATTCTAAACATTAATAGGAAGATTCAAGTACACAATACAATCTAACTGAAATGTTTATTTTTAAATAGGCAACAGACACAATATTTATACTTTGGGAATTAAGTAAACCAGTTACAAAATTCAATACCAAACTACACTTTGCCAATAATTAAATTAGTATTTTAGTCAACAAATACACACCAAAAATATCATTATAAAAATGTTTAGATAGTATCTAAATACAATATGTATTCACAGTTTTGACAGATAATTAATGTAAAGAAATTCCAAAAACCAAGAAAAAAAGAAAAAAGAAAAATCAGGGAAATCATAAGAGAGGTATATGTCTTTTCTAGTTTTTATTTGTTGTTCATACTGTGCTGAATGTTTTCGTTATTACTACTTTGAATTAACACTTTCTCTCTCCCTCTCTCTCTCTCTCGCATTCTCTCAAACCATCTCTCCTTTTTTCTCGCCTTTATTTGCCACTCATTGCTAAACCAGACAATATTTCTGTATTTTGATTATCAATCTTTAAATCTTTATAAGTTTATATCTGATTGTTAAAATTGCTACTACTACAACTACTACTACTAATAACAATAATAATAATACTATTGGTAGTAATAGTAATAGTAACAATCATAACCGTAGTAATAAATAATATTATTATTAATTCGATGATAGAATCATGTTTTATTTCTATAATAACATTAAATTGTCAGAACATGTCTTATCAGTTTTATCAACAACAAAAAAAGTGAAAACATCAATACGAACAATCATACAGACAATGAATACTGACTATTTAATCGTTAGTTATATTTGGCATTTACAGAGCTACTAGTTTAGATTATTATCATTATTATTCCGTTTTTTGTATTGGTTGTTTAAATCTTCCGATTGATGTTTAGAACTGTCATTGATTAGTCTGTGAATGGCATATATACATCCTATGTGGACTGCCTCGATATTGCCTCAATTTACAATCATTATACATCATATAAAAATGAATTAACCTTCAACATATTTTATACGCCAGTGGCTATCTAAACTCAGTAGATAAGTAGATAAGATGATGGTGTTTGAAACGAAATGTATTTGGTTCAAGTTCATGAGTGAATATCAACTCTGAGATCTAGATATATACATCTGACGAGTTCCAAATAGGACGAAACACACATCTTAGATTTTATTGCTAGCCATCATCATTTCCGTTTATAATAATAATGAGTAATATAATAAAATAAATGTACTTCCGTATTTGGCATTCAACTATCAGATAGATTTCAATGGATTATAATTTAATTATTATAAGTAAATATAAGAATTCGACAGGTAGTAAGAAATAGAAACTGTATGAATCATATCAAACATACACATCTATTGTGAATGGCATATTAGAAAAAAAGAGCTTTGAATAGTATCATTTATCTTCTAAATGGTAATGTTTGAATTTTAGATTTAAATACATAGTCTGAAAGATATCACCAAGTTCTGATTTAATCAACCGAACGAAATGACTATGTTTTCTTTTTTATTCATTTCATTATATGATGAAAAGTAAACAACTTGTCGAATAATAAACTGAAGCATAATAATAATAATAATAATAATAAACAAAACCCAAATGGAATGGGCAAAACTTATTTTCTGCTTATTTACACACTTTTTTTCATATTAAGATTCATTCAATTACTTTAATGAAACAAGAAGATCAGATATGTTGTATGTGTGTGCGCGTGTTCTTTCTTTACTTTCTTTTCTCAAATAAATTTTTTTTTTGTATGTTGATACAGAGGATAGATCAGTTTAGTAATATCCAGTTTGTTGATTCAAGTTATTCCATTCATGTTCATGGGTATGTAAATAAAAAGAGATGTATAAATCACTTATTGGTTGGAAGCTTTAAGATTGAATTCAAGATGTTTGTTCAGAGAAGTGATTTTATTATGAAATTTAAATTGAGCTGAGTCAGACAATCAGCTACATCGTAGGACCAGGCACATATATGCATCGGTTCAAGTTGCCATACTGCATTAGCATAACATGATGAACACCAGATTCATAGAAGTAGTTAATTCAATGGTGGTTATATATAAAAGAAAGATTGCATATAAAGACATAGTACAGGAAGAAAGATTTAGTTCGAGGAAAGAAAGATATGAAGCGATTTTAATCTCATGGTTTAAAGGAAAACAAAGAGTGTATACACTGACGCCATTGTGATCGATTCTGAGACATGTCACCCACAGTCTCTAACCATCGGTTACGATAGTCACGTGGACCCCAACCAAGTGGTCTGAATCTACCAACATGGCTCAGACTAGAAGTTAGTGACTTCAAGCACTGATGTCACGTTTTGGTTTGGCCTCCCCTAACTTTCTTCCAAGCATCCGCAACACTGGTCAGCATTGTGCGCCGTGGTAATCTGTGTTCATGTATACATAATACATGGTCCAACTATTTCGATCAATGAATATTGAAATATTTCCATAGTCAACTAATATCAGTTGTATGCATTAATGTATATCACTATAAGAATATTATAAATTTAAATAAGGAACGTTATTTTAGGGGTTATAACATTGGGTTTTTAATCAATTTATCACATTATATCTGGGTAGTTTGATGAGAATTGTGATGTATTTGTGAAATACATTTCAAACAATCTGATCACACATAAAAGGTCAACTAGACAAATTAAAAGGTAAGAGGAAACAATAATAATAAAGTACAAAAAAACAATGTGAAAACCACGTTGAGTAGGTTAAGCGTAAGAATAAATTGTTTTTAAACACATAAAGGAGGTTTCAGTTTTCGTATAGTGAAGGCTTTAATAAACCTTGGTATACGCCCTTCAAAACGTTTGTAAAAAACTACATAGACTGACATGATATCAACCTTATGACATATCTCAATCAGATTTTTTAGAATAGAGAAAGATGTCTGTCTATCCTGTGATTGTATTTGACCATTTGAATTTATATATATATTGATTGTGGAAAGTTGTTACTTAATAAATTGGTCAGATCAGCATTAAATTTGAATATAATAGGCGATAAATGCTTAAAAATGTATAAATAAAGTGTCTGGTAATGTCACTAAAATAGATTTTATCGTGGTTAAGATTGGTGAAAGACTGATCATTCTCGGTCTTATATGCTGTAGTAACATAGTAGGACTTCAACCCACATACATTTCATACCATATGAGATCTTACAAAAACATTCTTCCTCCTTAATATCTCACATCAACTCGGCACTCAAATACTGTGAAACTATTTGGTCAAATTTAGACAAAAGTTCTTATATACCATATGAATAGTTTAAAGCTAGTAAATCTATTTATCATACTTTGGAATTTATTTTATATTTTGGGTAATTATGTATTTAAAAAATGTAATTAATTTTGAACTCACTAATCATTTAATAAAGATTTGTGTTTTTGATTGCAGTTTACCACTTTTGTGTTCAAGAACTCGTGGCATTACTTAGCCATCCATACTGAAGTAGGGAGTGTGTAATATCTTCCTGTAACCCTACAGTAGAAAAAATAAGTGTATATTTAGAAGTTTTGTATAATATCAACTTGTTTTAAAGTTAAATATACTATTTACGACTAACTTGAAATAATATTCACATTTTAATAAGAGAGCAAAACAGAAGGCTATTCGGTACTGATTTTCTTCTAAATCGTCTTTAAGCTATTAATAAGTTTGTGACAGAATTGTGTGCTCGAACTTAAATCTTTAGTTTTTGATTTAGGTCATGAACTGATTGATGTTAGACCACCATTGGAAACCTAGAAGCACTCGTCGGATACCTCAGCAATGCGCATCCATGATCCCGCTCGCGAGATACGAACCCAGGGCCTTTGGTCTCACGCGTGGACGCTTAACCTCTAGACATTCAACGGTGTTAATATTTAACCTCAACCAATCAGCGAAATTAAGCGACCATCTTCCAAAATCCGTGTCAGGAAGTGACAGGTATACAATCGAAGATGGTCGCGCGATTTCGTGGATTGGTTGAGGTTAGACATTAACACTGTTGGATGCCAGCCGGCTCAGTGGTCTAGAGGTTAAGTGTTCGCGCGTGAGGCCGAGCGTTCTGGGTTCAAATCCCGCGAGTGGAATCGTGGATGCGCCTTTCCGAGGAGTCCCACAATATAACGAAAGAGCCGTTCGGTGCTTCCAGGTTTTCAATGGTGATCTAACATCAATCAGTTCATGATCTCAATCAAAAACTTAATAATATTTAGTTTATGTTAGTGATTACCTATCAGAACAAGTTTTGATTGAGGAAATTCTTCCGATTTGGATGATAAACAAATATTGTTTGAAAATCACAAAATACTCAAGCAGATTCTATATTTCAATAAGAGTTTATCATTATACATAGACATACACACATTTTTGAAAAAAAATCGGTTTTCTACCCAGTTAACTAGTTACAATGAAAAGAAATCCTGAAGTGTGTTTATTTCCCATTTATTACAAGTATTAAATTATTGAGGTCAAGTAGCTCAATAACTTAGTGACCGTAAAGGCCTCTTATATCATAAATAATGATAAATAAATCTTAATTAGTTTTATTAAATCATCATGAACTATGTCAAGAGTGATAGTTCACCTGATACTGAATCAAGAGAGAATACAATTAGGCACTTCAAATTATTTCTTTTGTGTAAATTTTGTTTTTTGTTTTGTTGGCTATTAAAGAATATTTCGGTATTCTTTGTCGTTAAGGTGGTATATATATATATATATATATATATATATATATATATATATATAGTAGGTGTATAATATTTGTTTATAAATATTTTTAAGTGTTGTTCAGAACTACTACAATCACTGATTAGGTAACATTTAGGTTAAACGTAGAATAAGACGTAGAGATGACGAATCACTTGAAGACGTTAAGAAACTTTGTCAGCTCAATGGTTCTATATTCAATTTTTGACGTTGTTGTTGGTTTACTATTGCTGAAGTATCTCAAACAGGAACAAAATGTCTGATCACTGTTTACTGATTGGAAATGGTTGTTGAACTGAAGTTTGGTTGCTAAAGAAACTCATCTATTGTCAAATTCGAAATGCCGCTGTTATTGGCGTTTTTATCCGTTTATAACCTAATAGTTTTTATTTCATTGAATATAACCGTTTTCATTGTACTGAATTAATAAAATCTTTAGAGTTTACAATTGTGAACAAACTATTCGGTACAAATACTGGACAACCAATTTGAAACCATCTCTACACTGAACTTCTTTATGTATTGTGAACATGATATTGTTACTAACTTTAAATTCATCCGTTTAAATTGATGCACTAATGAGATGAAATCTTTGTCAATGAATCCTATGTTCACTAACACTAAGAATTGACAGCAGACCAAAATCAAACTAACTCATGATGCATTTAACAATATTTTTTTTTAATATCACAAGGGGTTTTGTGGATATTATAGTAATTTTGTAATAGCTGAGATCATGATTTAATTGAAGCTAGATAACCATAGAAAACCTGGATGTACTGGACGGCAGTTTCGTTCTATTGTGGGACTCCTCGGCAGTGCGCATTTACGATCCTGTCTCTCCCGCAAGATTTGAACCCAGGACTTATCAGTCCTTCAATCGACTCATGATCTCAATTATTAAAATAGTTTTTTTCTTAAAATTACATACATTTTACAATAAGCTATTCGTTAATAGAACTTAGTAGTATGAACCTCTTACTGAGTTAGTTAAACTAACAATTTTTAAGTATTTGCTTAGTCTAACAACAGTCAACATTATAAACAAAAAGAAAACAAGTCAGTGATAAATTTTTATACTTTCGACAGATGTTTCGTCTTCACCTGAATTTCCTCAGTAGTATAATTATCCGTGACTCCTCTCATAGAATCGGACCCAGGACATGCTAGTTTAATGACATATTATGCTATTTATTTTGAACTTGTTGATTCATATAATAAAGATTTAGTTGATTCTCAATATAATGTGATGATCATTCAACACAATCGGTAGGTAATTATTTTACTCGTAAAAGTATTAAATCCACAGGTTACTAGGATATATTTTTTAACAAAGTTTAAACTAAGAATAAACAGTTTATTCCCTACTACCTGGTTATCAATGTCTTTCTAACTGATGTCAATTTGTGTTTAAAGCAATTGATAAAATAAACTACAACAGTCGTTTCACTATGAAGTTACAGAATAATCTATAATGTAAGTTTAATACTTTTATTGGTAATGTCTACATATGAATAAATATCTTTCAAAGTTGGAAATGAAACTTAAAAAAATTCTTGAACAGTATGCATTATTGAAATTACTAGATAACTAAGTGATAATTGAATATACTTCTACATTTATTAGAATGAGTAATTCTGTCACATTGACAAATGAACATGTAAATATGTACACATTCATTACAATACTGTTTAAGGGACATTCATTAAAAATATGAATGAAAGATATATATTCTGGCTTGTAAATACGGGTTCTCATCTCACATTTACACAAATATATATGATAACAAATGACAATGGCACGATGATTAGCAGGTTAATTATGATAAAACAAACTTTAAAAATCAATAAAATCTGGCAGTATAAATGCAAGTATTGGCATGTTTATTACTCACTACTGTATATTTGTCTAAATTTTACATGCTTGTATGCATATACATCTCACTCTCACTTTCTCTCTCTCTCTCTCTCCATATATATATATATATATATATATATATATATATATATATGTACGTATGTATAATATGACCTAGCTGTCAAACTAAATTCACTTACATATTTATATTCTATATTGTACCTCATTTATATCACCTAAATATAGACATTATTTTAATTATCATTGATGATATTCTTCTGTTTATAGTTTGTTTCTCTCTCAATTTGTTTGTTTGTGTGTGTGTATGTGTGTAATGTACCTGTGAGTATATTTTTTCCATTTATTACAATAAATTAATAAAAATAGTTAGACATCAGTTTGACAATCATGCTCTTTTTTTATTAAAATTAATTGAAGGATCTATTTATCATTAAAACAATTTATTAGTTTTTTAACAATACGGAAATTGAAACCCCTTTTATGTGTTTAAAACTATTATTATTATTATTATTATTATTATTATTATTATTATTATTATTATTGATTAGAAACAGGTAGGTATCCTTAGAACTGTGTTTTGAATAGACCATATTAATGATGATTTGGACGATGATGATGATGATGATGATGATGATAAAATCAGAGGAAAGAGGAGAAAACTAGATAAGTTGGTCAATATTGTCAATTGACCTAATTAGTACTGTACATTTAAAAAATATTTCTACAGAAATGAAAATAATCGATAAAACCCTACTCATTTTTGTCTGGAAAAAAACTCTATGAAAGGTTTTTGTATTATCGAATCAGTTTAAATTATAGCTGAATTTAACTGAAGAGCATTGAACCATATTTTATCTTAATTTGGAATTCATTAGAGATGCTCGATCCACTACTATTGTTAGAGATATAATCATGAATTATGAGGTTTAGCACCGATCATTTTACATTTCAACTATTGATTTCTTTGTTCTAATTTTATTTAATTTGTGATATCTTTTCATTTAATACCATTGTGGATATCTTCATCGCTTCAGATATGATTGGATTCTATTAATCAGACACATGAAAATTCATATAGATAGTTATCAACGATTAGAATACGATTACTAATAAGACTGAAGGTTTGATTGAAATATCCATCTAAAAGCTCGTTTTTATACAACAGAATGATGTGAACTAAACAACCGACGAATTCTCTAATCTGTATCATTTCATCAACAGTCTTCATGAATGCTTTATTAGCATTACATTACCAGTTTGCATGTATGTAATTACTGACATAGTTCATTGTTTCATTCGGAAAGTATAGGAATGACATCAGTTATAAAACTATGAAATATGAAGTACAAGTTAACAATTCAGTGGAAACAGTGAGATCAAAAAGCAGACTAAATATTTTTTTATTAGAATGGGGGTTTGTGTAGATTGTAGTGATTTTAAGTGTTGGATTCATGAGTCGATGTAAGCTAGACTACCATTAAAAACTCACATGAGGGATCGTGGAGCTCACTGCTCAGGAGTCCCATACTAGGACGAAACGACAATCCAGTGCTTCTAGGGTTTTCAACGGTGGTCTAGCTTACATCGACTCATGAATTCAACTATTAAGTAGTTTTTTTTTGTTTTTTATAGTTCAGTTTGATCCAAAATATCACAGAATAATCTAGATTCTCACTCAAGTATTAATTTTTATAAACATTTCAGATCGATGTGTAATCAATCGTAACCCAAATATTTCAGTAGCAATTTTCCTGACGATGACATTCAGTGACGTGAGTTAGAATCTCACAGAAAGTATAACTCCTGCTTTAAATTCAAAGAATACTCTTCTGACAGGTTTCGACCTGTATGGAATCTAAATCAACCAGAATTTCCCTCTGATTTCTACCAATTAACTAAAATCC